AACAAGATGTATATTGCTGGTATTACGCCAAATGAACATACATACACAATCATTATGAGAGGTTATGCTGCTACTGGGGATATCGCAAAGGCATTTGAATATTTCATGAAGATCAAAGAGGGTGGTCTAAAACTTGATGTCTACATTTACGAGACGCTGCTAAGGGCCTGTTGCAAATCAGGGAGAATGCAGAGTGCTTTAGCAGTCACCCGTGAGATGAGCTCTCAGAAGATATCAAGGAATACATTTGTATATAACATTCTGATTGATGGGTAGGTACTCTATATAAGCCCTTAATTTGACCAATATCCGTTAACCTTGTTCTCCTACAGTTCTGCTGGGTTATTATTTGTGGGCTGTCTCAGTAACTCAGGTACACCTGTATTCATTTCATGACTAGTGGAGCTTGTAGAACTAGTAAGCCAAGTTCTAATTCAGAGAGATGAAGAAACTATCATGATAGGTCTTTATTGAATTAGTTCTACAGTATTTTGCAAGGGCATACTGCAGAATAATTTATGGTCTGTTTCACAAAGTATTTTAGGCAATTCCTTTTGCTTGTCTATAATCATTGATCTTTTTCTCTAGGTGGGCTCGGAGGGGAGATGTTTGGGAGGCAGCAGACTTGATGAAGCAAATGAAAGAAGATGGAGTCCCACCGAACATTCATACATATACCTCCTACATAAATGCATGCTGCAAAGCAGGAGACATGCAGGTACAATTTTTTTGCATTATTTAATTTGTAGCCTATTGTTAGTTTGTTACTGGATGCTGGAGATAGACCGACAAGGATAGTACAATTCCTTGTGACAATCATGACTACATATTTTCTAGTACAATGAGCTTTATCCTGCATGGCTTCATCTCATTAGAATTAGAAATTTGCGAATGGAGAAATATTTCTCTTGGGCATTTCATTGCACACTATCCATTGATATATCTTAATTAAATGATCTATTTGTAGAGGGCACAAACGGTGATAGAAGAAATGGCAGATGTCGGACTGAAACCTAATCTCAAGACATATACTACCTTGATTAAAGGTTGGGCAAGGGCGTCACTTCCAGACAGAGCATTGAAATGTTTTGAAGAGATGAAGCTGGCGGGGCTGAAGCCTGATGAGGCCGCTTATCATTGCTTGGTAACTTCACTTCTCTCCAGGGCAACTGTGATGGAGGGAAGCACCTACACAGGAATCTTGAGTGTTTGTAGAGAAATGTTTGAGAATGATTTGACTGTTGATATGCGCACTGCTGTTCACTGGTCAAGATGGCTTCACAAGATTGAGATGACGGGTGGCGCACTAACTGAAGCACTTCAGAGAATATTTCCTCCTGATTGGAATTCATTAGAAGTTCTAGGAGAGGTTTCTGATTCTGTAAGCACTGGGGACTCAGATTATTCCAGTGATTCTGATTTTAGCGATGGTGACGAGAATCAAGAAGCTGATGACAGCTGACAATCTGTAAACAACTTTCGACGGTATGCACTCCCAAGCTGCTTTTGCGTGAGCTGTGCCAGAGTTTACCTAACAAGGTATGTGTATGCTTGTGGGAAATATACCACTACCTTCTGTGGATGCTAATAAATACACAAACATTATGTTTATATTTCTATCATTAATTGTCTGTCCAAAATTTTATCTAGAATGATTTAATAGGAAAAGGAAGTTTGCAATGATCTTTAGTAATGATAATTTTTATAGTTTCTGAAAGCAGTGTTCCAGAGAAACTAATATTCTTTTGTCTGAAACGACAGCATCGTTGAACAAACCCTGTTCTTGAATTACAGGTCGGCAGTTTGTGGACGACCCAAAAGTTGGGTTTGGAATCTTACAGTGCAGTAAGCATGGGCTGTCTGTCTTCTGCTGTATTTTTTCAAGAGCTGCCGACAGTCAGCAACAGTTCTACTGGCGCTAAGGACTCAGTCTGTCATTGCAAGTTAGCAGCAGACCAAGCTTGCTCAGTTATGTGTGTTCCTGTACAGAACAGTGACTGCCGTAGGTAAATATTCGTGAGGTATGGGCAAGTTTGTTTTTGTTATGCTATCCTTGACTAGAGTCCAACTTGTTTATACTCGTAAATGAAGTTTAAAGCCAGACATTTGCATAATTTTTTTAGCGTATTAGTCACCCACAACCAATTTTTAGCTTGCTTTTGATTTGCTATGGGAAAATCTGGGTGCTCACTTCACAGCATTCAAATGTTAGGAATCGGACGCAAGGAGCTCATATATCTATGTTTCTCTGTAGGACTTTTAGGCCTATGGCTGAGTAGTGAGTACCACTGCTTTGACGGGCATTTAGTAAAGCATTTCATAGCACATGACTCCTAACTGGTGTGAGGCAGTACATTATTTGTACTACCCCCGTCTCGGTGAATAAGTCATTCGCGAAATTCTAGGTCGATGATTTAACTATCTAAATATGTATTATATGTGACAAAAAATATATATTTAGAAACTACATCCGTGTAGAAATCTACTGATATACTTTTTATGACATATAACACATATTTGATTTCTCAAATCGATGACCTAGAACTACGCGAATGACTTATTCACCTAGACAGAGGTAGTACAATTATTCTGTAATCTCAGCACTTGACAAGCCGTGGGCAGCTTATTAGCTGAATACCACACAAAGCAACTGTGGTGTAGTACTAGTTGTATGCCTATAAAATGCGAGATAATCTGAATACTGATAATATGTCGCGGAATGAAGCTTCTCATTGCCTCCATGAGGAGATATTAATTTTATTGTTTTGATAAATAGGAGCATAGATTGTTGTCTCGTCGGTGTCTTAGAGTAGTATACATTATTGTGGTTTTGGGCAGATTCAATGGAGGAATTCCCCTCTTAGAGTTTGAAGTACAGGTCCAAGTCCAATCAAGTGCTAGATGATGACTGCTCTCTCATTAAAGATTTGGCATCTTCCAGTACAGCAGCTTCAATAAAACGAGCCTTAACTTGGCACAGCCCGGCTCAGCATCACTTGGAAATGCACGCCCCTGAGTCCAAGCTGGGCTGAACTGAATGCCTGCACAAGCCGGCATTAATACGGTTCTTATGAGCCCAGTTTCTTGAGATTGGCGTGTGTCTGTAAACTCGTAGCTGGCTGGTAGGAGTAGTCCATCTTTCTTCATTGATTCAAGCAAGAGTGGTCTCCATCCCACCCCCCATTCAAGTCCTGCCCACAATATAACACAGTGCTCCATTTATGCCACGTGAATAGTAAAATCAGAAAGAAAAAAACACTAGAATATTAATAAAAAATATTCTAAAATTTTGGGGTATCAAACTTGATCGACCATTCTACTCATGTGTGAAGTTTTGTGAAGTAATGATACCCGTGGTATCCTTATTGAAGAAAATACAATCAGGGCCTTACCATTCATCAAACTGTGTTTCTTAGTATATACTCCCTCCGTTCCAAAATAGATGACTCAACTTTGTACTAACTTTAGTACAAAGTTACTATAAAATTGGGTCATCTATTTTAGAACGGAGGGAGTAGCTTTGAGTTTGTCAGTTTTGCCCAGAATACGACGGATGTCATATCTTCATGAAACTTCATACGCGAGTATACGGTAGACTATGTATGTTACAAAAGAAATATCATTATTTTATTTTTCCTAGTATTTTTTTTCTTTCGAATTTACTGTTCTATCGGGTGCGCGTGGAACCATGTTCCAAAAATTCCTGTCCTCCATTTAAGCCCGTTATTTAAGCTTGCCTATTTAAGCTGCATTCATCTCCATTCATGCGCACCATAAATTCCGGCTAGGAAACCTTAATGTAGCTGCAGTATTTTGTATTCAGTGTGCCACTTAATGTTCTTTGAATGATAAGGATGTACCGGAGTACTGTACAGAATATTTTTAGACCACCAATACTGCTAAGAATTTCTTTCTCCTTGCACATTTTTCTGAATATTTTTTCTTTTGGCATTGCAGCCTCTTCCTTGTGAGACAGTTAAGGTGGCAAAGGCTTGAGGCTGTGTCTAGTTTCGTGAAGTTGTTAGATGTTGCCCTATCCTAATGAGCGGAAGATGGAAGGGCCTGGAAATATGTTTGTTCATATAGGGCCAGTAACTGGAAATGGCACCACAGGTGGGCAACAATCAAAATCTCCCTTCTTGTTTTAGTTTCCTTTGGAAATAGACTTTTGGAATCTCTACTTGGATTGTAACTGCGATCCAGAAGGTAGCCACAGTGGCGGCAGTGCTGTACAAAGACTTGTCTGCTATAGTGATATATTTGAACAGATAAAATATATATCTCTTTTCCTCTGTTCTGATGAATTTGAAAGTTCAGATAGAGCGTGCGAATCGTTAGTTGGCTCTTACTTTGGCATGACTCAGCTGTTGTATAACTAAATCTATTTTGAGTGATTCCGAGAGCACAAGCCAGTAAATATCATTTACTCCCTCCGTCCCATAATGTAAGAGCATTTTTGACAGCGCTACGCTCTTATGAGGGAGTAGTTATCTCTAGTTCTGTTCTGTGGCCAACTACTCCTGCAGTGACACTAATTATGACCACCTCTGTTGTGAAGTGTCAACTGTATATCTTTGCGGGTATTTTTGGTTCTTCACCCTTAATTTTAGTGAAGGGAAACACATAGCGGTACATGTATCTCTAGTTCAATTTCGTTTTCAGTGCTCTGTTTTATTTCCGCATTTCCATTTTATCCACTTGTTTGGAGAAGAAAAGAAAAAGAGCAAGGAGAAGTACACGTATTTGAACCAAAGTCGAGCGGGACAGGGAAGGACGCAAACATTCAAGCCGTTCGCTGCTGATGCATTCAAGTGACCCCCTCTTCTTGATGCACAACAGAAGCGCTATATATATACAGCAAGGTGGCACACCATTCTTCCGCAGCCCAAGCACGGACGCACGCACACTCATCCCCCCTTTCTCCCTGTTAGTGGTCGCCAGTACACAGCACCCACCTACCTAACCTAGATAGATAGATATATAGGCAGGAGCTGATATCCATGGCCAGCATGGCACCGTCGCCGGCGAGCTCCTGCGTGTCCTCCGACGAGGAGGAGGCCGCGGCGGCCAAGGCGATGGTGGTGGCGGGGTGCCCGCGGTGCCTCATGTACGTGATGCTCTCGTCGGAGCCGCCTCGGTGCCCTCGCTGCAACAGCCCCGTGCTCCTGCAATTCCTCCACGGCGCCGACGCCAACACCGCCAACGCCAACGCCGACGCCGACGCCAACACCAACATGCACGGCGGCAAGAGCTAGCCTGCCTGCTTGCTTCTCCTTTCTTACCCACTGTAGCCGTGATGATCTGCATGGGATTTTCAGGTCGTAGTCAGGAAGTAGCTAGCTTTCGAATCGACTTGCAGCATCGTTGACCAACCAAATCTAGAATTTGAGCGGACTGAGAAAGAGCGTTTGCAATGTGGCTTGTGACCAATCACCGTGTGGCTGGATGATTGGATTGCACGACTATTTCTGCTTTGTTTTGATTCTAGTATTGAAGATGGGTTCGTGACCGATCAACCTCCAGCTAATTATATAGCACAGCAGTATAGCCAGCCCGGATGCTGACTGGGGATGATCAAAGTCAGGATGCCTTATTATGAGGGATGGACGACAGAAGTCGGGATCGATCGATAATCCGTGACGGTTTTAATGAGGGATCACCAAGTAGTAGTACTAACAGATGGAATGAATACGAGTTACAATTGAATCGGATCGGTGGTTGACAAGAGGTGTTTGTTAACACCATCTAAACGCATGAACTAACCCATAATGTGTTGTTACTTGAACAAACAACATACTTATGATAATAATAACATCTACTATGTAATTAAGCATCCGCGGATACATGAAAGTAATTAAGATAACATCCAACCATAGCAATAAACTCTAGAGTTGCAACACCCCTCATGCAACAGTTCATAAACTTAGAGTGTACACTATACAGGAGAACCGTAGGAGATGCAGGATAACATCTAACCATAGCAATAAAACATGGTTATTTTCCTACTGCTGCCTTCAAAAAAGTTAAGGTTGTGTCATGGAAGAAGAAAGAGTTTGAAGATTTCCTCGTTTCTTTTAGACTTTATTTTGTAATAGATTCATACGAATACGATGGTATCAAGTGTACGACACGCACAGATTTAAATGAGTCATAGGGTTTCAATAGGGTTAAACTTGACTTAGTTATTTCTTAATGCCCATCATGCCTTTAATTATAAAGGGGTACAAGCCGGTCTCAACCGTTGATGTGTTTAGGGGGTGTGGTAAAGCAGAAGTGTTATCGTTGTATGTCGTTAGCAGACACACAAGGCAAATGTAAATGCAAAACGAACATGGTCACTTCCACATAGTTCACGAGAAACATCCTTCAAATAGTTCACATAAATCCTCGGTTGCATTTGTTTTCTGTCCCTTTGTGGATCATTCATAAAAATATGTTGTTCGTAAGGTGCTTCGCTTCTTGGCTGCAATTGGTCTTTGCGCCAATGACGTGACTACACAGAAGTGCATGGCGCATGCCTTTGTGTATGAATGGACCGTATCTGAATTCCAGGAATTCATTCGTCATATTGTTTCATGTAACAAGCTTACCTTCTTTGTTGTAGCTAGCCTCGCCTCAAACGGCTAGTGGGTCACTGATAAGTTTGAGTAAAAACATTCTTACTTGGTACCAAATGTTTGATATTGTTACCACAAGCTTGCCTCACGTCTGCATTGTTACTAATTGCGGGTCATCACTCATCAGATATTTTTTCATGTAGCATACTTACCACAAACATTCTTATTAGTAATGTTGAGGCGAGGCGAGCTTGTTTCATTACGCAGCGAGTTATTAACAAGTTTGAGTAAAAACATTCTTCAAATAGTCATTGATCAAACGCAATGCAAACGTCGGGCTTCCTTTTGCTTGTGTTCTAATAAGTGGGGTGTGCGTGTTTTGCCAAGTTTGCCCGGATTTTGATCGTTGCGGCTGCCGTGTGGTGTATTCTCCGAGCTATTCCACTTTGACCGGTGTGGCGGGCCAAATGGCGTGTTTTGGCTTCTCAACTGGCTTTTCACTGCTGTGATTGGCCGGATGGCGTGTTTTGCCATCTCTCCTAGCTTTCACCCCCTGCGGCATGGCCGGATGCCGTGTTTTCTCACCTCTCCCAGCTTTTTATCACTGCTCATGTGATTCTGGGAGGGGATCAATTTTCAGTTTCGATGCTTTAGCTCATTTGGCTTGGAGGGTGCGGTTGGGTTTTCTATCATCCTGGCTGGAGTATGAAAAAAAAAACTTAGAATCGATTTGGTTTTTCAATCAAACGGCTTATGTATCACCAAAGAAATAGATAGGCAACGATCATCGTCGTTTGTCGTTACTAAGTACAAGGCAAATATAAAACGGAATACAAACATAATCACTTGTAGATAATTCATGAAAAACGTCCTTCAAATAGTTCATGTAAGTCCCCACTTGTCTTTTTCTGCCTGTTCATAAGTTGCCTCGTTTCTTGGCTCCAGTTGAGCTTTGCGCCAATGACACAATGGTCATCTGGTGAACATAAAGAGAAGAAGCATAAATGGACGTTGACACGCTCCGTCCCACGTCTCATCGACTATATTATGTTCCAAGTGTTGTATAAAAATATGATTGATTTCCTTCCATCCGAATTGGTCCGAGTTTGATTCGTTGAGAACCGTCGATCCAGTCTCCGTCCACGTCTGAGAGCCTCCCCTGGGTCCCTCTGCCCACAAATCCAGCCTCCTACAGATCCGTGCCGTACATTACTTGAACCAAATCGAGGTCTCGATCGCCCGTTCTCGTTTGGGAGCGGTTGTGCGCCGCCTGCGGCGAAACACAAGCTCGCCTCACCTCAGCATTGTTCCTAATGGACCGGCCCAAGTAGCTTCATGAAGGTTAATTCATTTTCCTTCTCTGTTTTCTTACTTGTTTGTTTTTTAATATTTTTCACATTATAAAAATGTTTTAAATTCATATATTTAAAGAACTAAATTACTTAACAAAAACTTAAACTATGAATTTTAGAAATGTTAACACAGTGTAAAAAATTGTTAGAGTAATCTTAGAAAATATTGATAGCATTAAGTTTTTAATGACATTTGAAAATATTCACACATTTCAAAAATGGATGTGATAATTAAAAAATTGGTTATACAATGTAAAAAATGTTTTTGTGATTCACATAAATATTTTGTGCAATTCAAAGAAAATATATGATACATCGCACGTTCCAAAATATGTTTATGACATTTAAATAAATGTTTATACAATGTAGCAAATATTCACATAGTTCAAGAAAATGTTTCATATCATTAAAAAAATCACATATATTTGAAATTTTTTAACACGTATTTAAAAATGTTCAAAAAACATGTGTTGAAATTTTTTAATCATGTGCTTCAAAATTTTAAACATGAATTCATATGTACAATGTGTATAAAAAAGTGGACATTAAAAGATATATTTTTAAAAGTGTTATGATGTATTTGAACAATGTTTAATGTGCATAGAAATGTTCTTGATGCATGCAAAAATGCACAATGTGTATGAAATAAGTAGGCATGTATTGGAAAAACAAAAAGAAAAAAAGGGAAAATAACCGAAAAACAAAAATTCAGTGAAGAAGCACATAAAAGTGAAACCCAACCGAAAACCGTTAAACACCGATACACAAAAAATGTGTATAAAAACACAGAAGAAGAAAGAAGATAAATACAATGAAAATCATAAAGAAAGCCACAGAAAAAGAAAGATGTGTTTGTGTATCTACAGGTTGGATCCTTCTTATTTACGATTGTTTTCATCAATGATGATTGATATTCTGGTGTGTTTGTCCTTTGGGTGTTAGCACGACGACTTCCCGAGGGAGGGGGGCCATCCTTTGGCTCGCTTCAGTGCTTGTAGTCGTCGTTAGGTGGTATATGAATCTGAATATATTTTATTTTATTTTTGGTGTTCTTTGTACTATCATGAAGTTTGATGAATAAATTGGTATTTTTTTTCAAAAAAAGAAAATAGGCTGAAAGGATGGAGAGGAAACAAGGGATTTAGGCCTGTTAAATAACCCGGCTCCACTTGACCAACATGCCAGCCGCCGCAGCGTTGAACAAGGGAACGATGGCACGGCGGTTCGTGAACGTGGTGACGAAGAATCTCGGCGGCGGCGGCTTGTACTCGGTGCGCCGCATCAAGCCCGATGAGCACCTCTTCTACCCATCCACGTCGGAAGCACAAGCGGCGGCGGCTCGACAGGCGCCATGGCTGGAGACCTTGCCGCGGCTCCCCGCGCCGAAGATCAAGCTCCAGGCGTACCGCTCCAAGGACACGCGGCTCGACTTCCTGCCCATCTACGGCGCCGGCGGTGGCAGTGGCGCCACGGAGAGCAGGATGGTCTGCACCGACCGGGCGGGCAGCAGCATCCTCTGCGACGCCGGGATCCGCTCCGTCGAGCCGGTGCCCTCCCTCAACTGGCCCAAAGGCCCCAGCCCCGTCTCCTTCTCCGTCGCCCTCGCCGACGCCGCCGACCCCAGGCGCGCCCGCGCTCTCTACGTGCTCGACAGGTTCCCCGCGAGCCGCAGCCCGTGCAACTTCGAGGCACTCGTCTACGCGTACGGCGAGGTGCCGGGACTTGGCTACGGCGAGAAGTGCTGGCGGTGGCAGTGGCAGCGGCTCCCGCAGCCGCCCTTCGTCAGCGATACCAACTACGAATGCACGGACATCCGGTCCTACGCGCTGCTCGACGGCGGCTCCACCGTCTGCATCTCTGGGGCCGCCGCCGCCGTCGGCACCTACTGCTTCGACACGGCCAGTGGCGAGTGGGACAAGGCCGGCCGCTGGACGCTGCCGTTCCACGGCCGCTCCGAGCACGTCCCCGAGCTCCACAACCTCTGGTTCGGCCTCGCCTGCGGCAACGCTCACCACCGCGTGTGCGCGCTTGACCTTGACGGGGTCCGCCGCGCTCGGCCGAGACTGCTGCACGAGTGGCAAGACCTCGAGCCGCCGGAGGGCTGGCTGCAGGTCAAGCAGTGGCGGTGCCAGGAATCCAATCGTGTGTAGTCAATTGAATGTTGTGTGGTCAGATGTATGTATTTATAAGATTGTTTGGCATGAATTCTACTTGAGGTATGCAGTTTTTGGAAAAAGTTGTGTAGTCAATTGACTACCCAGCTCAAGTGTGGCTTCGCCACTGAGGTCAAGGGCAGTCTACTGTACCTGGGAGGCGGCAGGTTCTGCGTCACCAGAATCTTCGATGTTGGGCACCAAGAGACGCAGATCGCGGCGGTGATCACCAGCGTGGAGGTCGTGCGCGGCGGCGGAGGGCC